ATGTATTATTTCTTCAACAAACAGCATCAGACCTATATTTACAGAGAACAAACTGATGGCTGCCAGAGGGGGGTGGGGTGGAGGGATGGACAAAATGGGTAAAAGGGACTTCCAGGCTGTCAGTATGGGAATGAATAAGTCATAGGAACAAAAAGGCACAGCATAGGGAATATAGTCAGTGATATTATAATAGTGTTGTACAGTGACAAATTACACCTCCGCATTTGCGGTGAGCAGAGCATAACAGAGATGTTGAATCACTGTCTTGAACACCTCAAGCTAATTTAACATTGCATGTTAACTCTACTCAAATTTAAAAAAATGTTAGAGAGACTGACAACAACAAAAATGTAAGTAAAAAATAAAAGGACTGACCACGTGTTGCTAAGGAGAGAGAAAAACGGGAAGTCTCACATAAGTGATGGTGGTAATGGAACCATTACTTTGGAAAACAGTTTGACAATTTCTTCAAAAAGTATGATCTAGGGGGCGCCTGGGTGGCTTAGTCGGTTAAGCGTACAACTTCCGCTCAGGTCGTGATCTCACAGTTCTGAGTTCGAGCCCCGCATCGGGCTCTGTGCTGACAGCTCAGAGCCTGGAGCCTGCTTTGGGTTCTGTGTCTCCCTCTCTCTCTGCCCTTCCCCTGCTCGTGGTCTGTCTCTGTCTCTCTTTCAAAATATAAATAAACATTAAAAAAATTTTTTAAGTATGATCTACTACATGATGTGTACAATCCAGCCATTCCACTCATAGGCACTTACCCAGGAAAAATGGAAGCACACAAAGATTTGTACACAAATGTTCATAGCAGCTTTATTTGCAGTAGCCAAAATCTGCAAATAAATCAAATGTCCATCAAGAGATGAATGCGTACACAAATTCTGATTTCTCCATATAGTGGAGTGCCAAGCAGAAGCAAAAAAGAATGAATTTCTGGCACACGTTAAATGTGTATATATCTCAAAATAACTACGCTGTGTGAAAGAAGGTCACACCCGTACACACACACACACACACACACACACACACACACACA